TATTAAAAATAAATTAATAATCAAAATATAAAACATTTCTAGCATTGAAAAATAATTTTCGGGGTGGCCACATAAAATTTTTATAAGAAATTTTATGTGGCCATTTATTAATGGTTTAACGTCCATGTTTATACACTTATGGGGCTTGGACAGGGATCAAATAATGTCATTTGTTATGTTAAATAGCATGCATTTTCTAAAGCAATTTTTTACAATTCCATGCACTTTAAGGCGTTAACCAGTTTTGCAGACCGAGAACGGGTATTTTGAACATTATACATCCATCAAAAATTAAAAAAGGAAGAATTAATGAGGAGCTCTGATCAAATTTTTACCTCTTTAGAGGATAATAGAGGATTTTAGAAGTGGTTTGAAAAAAAGAGGACTTTAGAGGATTTTAGAGGAGCTGCAGACACCCTGATTATAAATGAGGTAACTCCACCAATTAACTCTAATTGATTTATCTGTAAAAAAACATGAAGTAAATCTAATATAATGCTTGTGGAGATATATTATATTGTGGAGAACCATCCAAACCACACAAGTGGAAAATTTGCATCCAAGTTTCCACTTGTGTGCAAATCTTGCATCCACTTGTCAACATTCTTATTATCACATTTTTCCTTTGTAGTTGTGAATTTAAAATTTTCACAATACTGTTTGCTTTCTTTTAGAATTTAAATAGTTATACAAATAGTTATATATTTTGTATCAACAAAATAACTCTTCTTACCACATTATTTAAAAAAGAATAATTGTAATATATAGATGTAATACCTGAAGAGAATTTAGTTTTTATTTGTATAAACTTAAGCCAATTCTTCTCTGCATTTTAGTGCAGTCAATGCTTTGGTACCTGGAAGCCGACAAACAGTTTTATCACTAATCCAATCAGATGGAATTACTTCTTCTTGTAAATCTTCATTCCAAACAGCTCCTTTCCGTATATTCAATTTTGAAAAAATTACATGAACTAATATAAAATGAAGAAACCATAATATAAGTGTACTAACAGGCCTAATTAAACTAGCTAAATTTGAACATTTTATAACCATGATACTTGCTAAACAAAAATATTAGTAGACATTATAAGCAAAGATAAGATTTTCTTTATTTTATAAATTTATGATATTTTAAACTTATTTTTATTAATTTATTTATTACTCTATTATTCAGCAGAGTTCTGAATATATTATGTTCAAATAACTTAAGGCTCAATAACAAAGACAAATAATGAAAGAATACTAAGTTGCTAAAACATAAACATCTACATAAGATAATTATGGAATATTGAAAAATAATAGAAATACAAAAAAACAAAATACTCATTATTAATATAAAATATAATAGTATAATATAAGGTATATTATAATATATGACACAATAATATCTACTTTTAATTAAAATATTAAAACAACAAAAATTAAAAAAGAAAATATTTTGATAAATAATAAATTATCATTCAAACAATTTTCAAGACCAAAAAATAACTTGTAACTTATTTTTTTACTTATCTTCATCTAAAAAACATTACTTATTTTTTACTCATCTTCATCTAATAAACATTAATATTAATTACAATTTTAAACATTATTAGAATTTTTTTTTATCAAAAAATAAAACTATTACATCAGTTACTTTTTGGGCTTTTCTTATTTTACTTAAAACATCAACTCAATTCTAGGCTTTTTTCATTATTGAGTTTTAATTTGAAATGTTGAATTAACACTGAAAAAAAAAATATTAGCAGACAAAAAGAAAATATTTCTTTATTAAAATATATGTAAATATTTCAATAAAGAAATTTTAGATCGATTTTTATAAATATAAATTTATATCAATCAATCTAAATTTTTTTCTTTTCCGCCACCTTTTCGAAATGAAGAGCATTTTTAGAAGTTAGACAAAATGCCATCAATTAAAGTTTCAGTCGCTCCATCGTATTTAATAGAAGAAGCTGTTAATAAAAAAGAATTAGAAAAAAAAAAAAAAACACAAGGAAAAATTTTTGAATATAAAAAAAAATGAGAATAAAAAAGTTTTACATATCTTATAAAGGTATACCTTTCACTACACCGTACAAATTAGTGCTCTTAAAGCATATTTCCACCTTTCCTCTTCATATTCATGGAGGTCACAAAATTGTTGGAAAATATTCTAAATTTTAATAGATAAGAGAACTGATATTAGTTGTGCAAGAACTAATATTAATTTTTTTATTAAATTTAAATTGAACTCATTATCAAACAACTTTTTTGCTAAATAATTTAATCCTTAAAATTTCTGAATAATTAAAAATTACTTTGATTACCTCAGCATTTTAAAGATATTCCATCAATTGCAATTGATTCACCTAAAAAAAAACAACAAGTAAAGCTAATATTATTGTTTGAAATTTTAATTATCTTTATACAAATACTCATCATATTTTTAAAGTGACTGATAAAAATGGATTTAATTAAAATCACTTCATTTGTATTAAAAAATTAATATTAAAGCCTTAATCATACATTATACAAGAGTATTTTGTAATACAATCTAAATAGTTGTTGCGATATGTAATTTTTTTATCCAAAATTTAGCTTCTGTAAGCTTTAGAAATTTTTTAAAGAAATTATTGATGAATTTGGAGCTACGGGTACTAATGTTTTTATATTGTTGTAATGTTTGTATTCATTCCCTGTTATTTTCTGTAAGTCAAAATTTTAAGGTGTTTCCATAATAAATTCTGTTATATCTGAAATTTAGTGTTAGTCTGAATAATTTAATTTCTAAAATCTGTTTTGCATTGCCTGCCTTATAACATCTTTACTTGGAACAAAACCATGTGGTTTAAAAGTGAGCTAGAAGCTTTCAACAATGAAGAAAATATTGCATTCACTAATCCTAAAAGTATATTAAACCTGTCAGCAAAATCAGCTGTCAATAATCCAAGTATTAGCATCATTTAAAATTCATCTTTGCTGCATTACATTTATTTTGGTTCAAGTAGTTAAGGATTTATTTAAATTTCAAAAAACAGAAGTAAATGTTTTTTTAATATCACTTTATCTCTTTTGATTAATGGTGATACTGCACTAACTGATGAAACACATTGACAGATGTAAGGCCAGTATAAAAGTCGCAAGATCTATTATTTTTAAAATAAATGTTTGTATACAAGTAAATTGCAATAACACGATTTGTTTGGATTATGTTTATATACAAGTTTGTCTGTTTTCATAGTAATAACTGATGTGGTTGAAGTTAATTTTTCAAATAAATCTTTAATTTTTTATTTCGTGCTGAAGTTCTTTTTTAAAGTTATCAATTTCCTTTTATAATTCTTGATGCTCTTTTAAAAAACAACGCTTAGCATTAAATTCAACATAATTTAATGGATCATTTTTTGAAAAAGCTGTATTATATTTATATTTAATAATATCAGTCTTTGAGCATTGTAGCCCAAGTTAAACGAAAAATATCGATTTGTTCTTTCAGGAAAATCGTCTGAACATGTTTTCGATCTCTTGAAAATTCTAAATGATATAAGTTCAGTATTTACATTTTTTTTCCATTATAAATCTCTATAACTTTAACCGTTGAAATAATGTTTACGATTTTACTTCCATTTCTGCGCGCGCATAAATTTTATATCGTATTTTTTGTCAACAATGATTGAAACAATGACGTTGAAATAACGTTAAATAATCAACGTTTAAACGGTAACGTTGATTTAACGTTGTGACATAGTTGAACAACGTTGAAACAACGCTTCAACCGAATTTCAACGTTGAAACAACGTAATAATGCCGGCTGGGTAAGGAGCAGGAGTTAATATTTTAGATTTTTAAAAAATATTTGTTGATGTTTACAAAAAAATACTAACTAATACGATGTTAAAAATTCAGAATTTTTTTACATACTTCCGTTAACCTCACCTGGTATTAGCAAGGGTTTAAAAAGGCTTATTAATTTAGTTATGATACTCTGCATTTTTCAAAAATATATTGATTATGAAAACATTCCCTACCTATATTGTGGTTGTTTAAAACTGTTTTTTCCTAACGCTAGGTCGGAAGTATTTCCTTGACAACAAATTGTTTACACCGGAAATAACTTTAAAACATGTGTTAACAGTGATAAAGTGAAAAAATAAAAAAAATAAAATGCAAATAACTTTGTATAAAAATATCAACTAATATATTAAATGTAATAAAATTATTGAATTTTTGTGATAATTTAATAAAATTATTATAATGAAGAACTCAACTATCTTATTTTTCATTAAACTACTCAAACAATATATTATCTATTTTTTTATTATTGATGGACTTGGTTTGTAATTGTTTACCTTGCACAAGTATAAATCACGTGATACTAAAATTTGAAGTGTTTCTAGTGTTTTACATATGTGGAAGTACACTTTGTGACTGTAGCTTATATAAAATACTAGAAATAAAATTGTTTATTTTGGCTACATCAAAAGTACAGTCAAAAGCAAAAACGTTTTTTTTAGTAATAATGTATTAAACATAAACAAAAAATAATCGATATAGAGAGCCAATTTTAAGTAAAAAAGGTTATTGAAAAATCAGCAGTCAGATATATTATTAAACATTTTAAGAATATCAAACAATCACCATTTATAATATTAAAATTTCTTTTTAAATTACCTATGTCATTAACAAATTATCAAATAAGTTGCGGATCCGCACAAGACTATTTTGCGGACCTAGATTCTATTATTGCGTGTCGATTTTACGGAACCGTGTTCTTCAATCTCAGTTAATTTATTTGTTTAAAAATAGATGCATAGTTAATTAAAAATAGATAAAATATATAATTAATTAAAAATAGTGCATTATTTAAATTAAAAATACTTTTTTTTTTAAAAATAGTTTAATTAATAGTGCGTTATTATGCTTTTTTTTATTCGTCAATAAACAATGACAAAATGGACAAGATTAAAAACTTATAACTTAATGAGTTCTGTTAGCTATTATTTAAAGTTCCAACCATTAGGAAAAATCAATAGTTTTTTTTAATTCGTTAAAACATTTTTTACAGTTATATAATCTAAGTTTAATCTATATATAAAAGTTTTTATATAAAGGACCGTGTAGGATGCAATTCAGTTAGAAAAATAACTTAGACATACTTAAGTACTCTTTTATAAAAAATTTGTTTTACTTTATTTTTAAAAAAATATAATTTCATTATTCTATACACTTTTCATAACTTTTTATATACTTTATTTAAAAACTGTTTTAAGATGAGTATTAACTAAAAGATTCGAAATTAAAAAAATATAAACATAATAAATGCCAATAAATACAAATATATATAAAAAAGAACTTTCATTAGTAAAAAAAAATTTCCCTATGTACTTGTCTATACGTTACGAAAATGTCAAATAAAAATTAAAACTCGCTTAATAAGGATATGTAGGAGTAGCTGATGCTCTGTACGGGGTATAGTATGAACTCACACGGTCTTGTTCCTGCACTGCAGAAGAAAAACTTCCATATGATGTTACATTTATTGCTGGATAAAAATCTCTAGACTCATTTTGCTGAAAATTGCTGCTTGGAGAAGTAATAAAACGCGGTAAAGTATACATCTCATTTGATGAAGAAGCCAATTCGTTTAATCGAGATGACGTTGAATTATCTCGATTAATATGATTTGAGTCGACGCTTGCGGATCGTATATTGTAATCGAGACCAGGAACGTTTGTTAAATGTTTTTCATTGACGTAACGATGTGCATTTGATGATTCGTTCATATTATAACTCAAATGGTAGTTTAAAAAATTTGAATCGAGATTCGTATACGTTAAATTAGCTTCGGTGTATGGTGTCGTTTTTTGAAATATTTGACTATTATTTTCGTACGCGTTGATTTGTTGATGTTGGTGTGTGCTAATAATTTTTACCTCGTCTTGCTTTTGAAGATTTTGAGGTGAAGGTTTATTTTCGATTTCATTGTTTTTATCAGATAGACTTTCAATGGTCAAGTCACAATGGATGTCTGTAGTTTTTTCTGATTTAATAGTGATCTTGGATGAGAGATCTTCAGTTGTTTCTTCTTTAGATGAATTAGTAGTATTGTTTTTTTCGCTGCGTTTTGATTTTAGTTCGACAGGTGGTTTTTTATTTTCATCAGCTGGTTTTGAATGTTTAGCTTCAGTAGAAACCCAAATTTCTGATTCATCAGATTCGCGATCTTCTTCTGCTCCATCCTCCAAGTCATCGTCTTCCTTTTTCATATCTTTTCTACGAAATCTTCTACGTCTTCTTAAATAGCTGCCATTTTCAAACATGTTCATTGAATCCGGATGAAGGGACCAGTAACTACCTTTGCCTGGTTTATTATCATCTCTTGGTACTTTTAGAAAGCATTCGTTTAGACTGAGGTTGTGACGAATCGAATTTTGCCAGCCCTGTTTATTCTGTCTATAATAAGGAAAACGCTCCATAATAAATTGGTATATACCACTCAAAGTTAATTTCTTATCAGGTGAACTTTGTATAGCCATCGATATAAGAGCAATATAAGAGTAGGGAGGTTTTACCAGTTCTTTTTGTTGGTTTTGCATGCTCAGCATCGGGTAGGTTGAATAGTAGTGGTGGTGGTAGTGTCCATCTGTATAAGGGTTTGGATAATATGGACTTGATAAATTTGTGTACTGTGAAGCTGTTCGATATGCTCCTGATCTGTAATAATCTGCATAGGCTTGTTGATCGTTGTTGTACGTGTAGTAGGGGGTTGGGCATGTGGTGCTAGATGTTTGTTCAACAACGGATGATGTAGTAAACGGTACAGTAGTATCCATAATTCACTATAAAATCAAATTAAATAAAAAAATAATTATGTTAAGTATTTAAAAATGCTGGAAAAATAAATGTTATTTCAAATTAAATTCACAGTTATAATTTATTTGAATAATTCAGAAATATGTATTTTCTATTTTTTATTTGAAAAGATTAGTTTTAGATGGCATAAAACATAAAATAACTTTACAATATGTTATGTTTCCTGTGACAAGGTTGAGAGGCTTGAAAAAAAAAAAATTCAATTTTCTTTGAGGGTTTTGAAGAACTTAACGATGATATCTGTTTTGGAGTTTCTATGCAAACTGAACATGGTTAAATAAAAGTATATAATATCTTATTCAGTATACATAAAATGATGCTATTTAGTTTAAGACACAAATGTACAAAACTTTGAATTTATTTCTTGTTTGCTAATATATTGCATTTTTTTTTTGCTGTAACTTTCAGCTTTAGCAGCACAACAATAGTTAAAAAAGTGATTTTTGACGTATGACGTAAGCGTCGGCTCTAAAAGTTCAATTAAAAAAATCACCGAATAAATTTCTAAATTTTCTTTTAAAACTTCTTATTCTCTAAAAAACTTATAAAAAAGTAAACGTATAATTATTTTCAAAATAATAAACTTATAAAATATTTAACATAAAATAGTTTTTAAGATACCAAACAGAAAAAAATAAACATGTGATCATTTTTAATATCCTAAAGCAAAAACTACAAGTTTTGGTTATTTAGGAGATCCTGTAACATTATGAAGTCGTTCTAAATTAAAAAACAAAATGGCGGACATTTTATAAAAAAATGTATGTGTTGTTTTATTTTTTTTTTAATTAATTTTATAAAAATTAGTGTTTACTTTTACTATTTGCTATTTCAATATTCAAAAAAAATCGATTGTCTGGTTGATTTTGACAATATTTTTATTAAAAAAGTAACAAAATAAAACGAAAGAAAAACAAAATATACCCAAATAAAAAACAACTACATACAATGTTAAACCAAACCAATGTTGTTTTTTATCAATTTATATCAATATATAAATCCAAAACGACAACAATTTTGTTTAGCGTTCGCTTGACAAATCCTCCTATTTCTTGTATATATTAGCAATAAAAAAAATATATGAAGAGCAAACGCAATTGTAGCTCGCACTCAAAAATCTTATTGACAAAGAATACAAACCTTGGCGTAGAATAACACAGCTGTTTACCAAGTCACCGCAAAATGAGCAAATTTCAAAATTTCTTTTTTCTAAGATAAAAAAATATGCACTTTTAAGATTTTCTTTTCAATTTAAAATGAGCTAATCGTTTTTAGTGAACACAAATAGTTAAGCTATTTAAAAGAGAAATGGCCGTACCAAAAAATGAGTATAAAACAACAATTCGATCACAGTAACTTATCTGTCACGTCGAGGGTCTCCTGCTGTGTTCTTCACTTGTAGTAGTGATCTTACTGAGATAAATGTCAATCAAATCAAATAGCGCGCGTGTAAATAAAGGTCCATACAATGTGCTTGATTCGTCAGTTTTTTTTCTCTCACACTACGTTTCATTTAAAAAAGTGCGATAAACGACAAGTATTTCTTCGACACTATTTAGTATAATGACTTCTAATTTTAGATTATCGAGTCTAATTTTAGATATATTAAAATTAAAATTAGAAGTATTTTGCAAATTGTTTCTTGTCTGAAAGACCTATATCCGGTATCTTTAAATTTGCTAAGACATTATTTGCATCAAGTTTATTTATTATTCATTGTCGTTTTAGATCATAGTTTTTGTTGTCGTTTTTTTTTGTAATTAATAAAACAAAAAAATTTTAAGTAATTAAATATACAAATAATAATAGTATAAAAATAATCGAACTTTTCATGAAAACAATTATTATCTGATATTATAACACAAATTTAGTTTCGATAAATTTCGCAATGGTGTGCAAATTCTACCGCGATAAAAAGATGAGTTCTACCGCGATAAAAGGCTTTGTAGAAATAAATGACGCATAGTGGAATACTAAGTCAGAAAGTTTACGTCAGAAACTGACCCTAAATTTAAATAAAAATGAAAACGGAAATAAGATTTATTATATCAAAACACAAAACTGATTTAACACTAGATATAAAAAATAGTTGTTTATAAGAGTCAATCAAAATATATTTTTATGAAAAGTATTTAGAAACAAATTGTATATATATTAACATAATTGTTGAATATATATTAATATAATTATTGCATATATATTGATATAGTAATAATTTACAATTATTAGAATACATTTTTTGAGACAAATATCTTTGTTGATATCTGATCGATTGTTTGAAATTTAACGAGAAAAATTAAATCTGGAGTAATCAAGGTAACAACAGAAAAGCCAATAACAAGTGATTTAAAATTAACAAAAATCTTATTTTTTGCATGTTTTATTCAAAACAATTCAAGATTTTTTTTGTTGAAATGCAGACTAGGATATAAAATAAATTCATGACAAGGTTTTACGATAAAAATGTGTTTGCCCATAAAAATAGCATTATAAAATTAAAAAAAATTCTAAACAGTTTTTAGTTTAGAAAAGTAGCTTTTTTAAACAAAAAAACAACATTTACGTTTCCTTTTAGAACCAGTGCAAGTTAAATTTGATCTTTGTCACATTTTTTTTTCTTTAATCAACTCCTTTGTTATCAAAGGATTTTTCAGCGCAGTTTGTTTGTTTTAATACTAGGAAAATTAAACATTGGATTAAATATAAAATTTCGAATAAACTTTTGGAAAGTTTTTTTTTTTATATATATACTTTTAAGGGAAAAATTTAAACTGTAAAATATTTAATGAACTAATAAAAACTTAATTTAATGAACAATTATAATTGTTTTCATTTGAGAAATTTAAAAAATCGTAATAAATTAATAATGGCGGGAAAAAAAATAGGGTGCGTTTGAAATATCTTTATTTAATCAAAGGTTTACGGATTGAATATTTATGCAAAGATAAAACAGTTAATTGTACACCGTTTGACCAATCCATTCCAGAAATTTTAGTTATAACTTCTTTTATTAAAAACTTTGCAAAAAAATTCTAAAATTTGCATTCACTTTAAAAAAATTAAGGCATTATCTCATCATCCAATTTCGTAAAAAAATTCATGAGCTAACCGAGGCTTTAATAGTAAATAAACATATTCAGAAAATTACAGCTAATAATCTTGAATTTCACTCAAGTTTTCATATTTCATTTGTTTATTTCAACTTTCATTTTATTGACAGTCGTTAATTTCTTAGCATTGAAACAAGTTTCTTAGAATTGAAACTAGGTAGAACAATTGATTAAGATGAATAGGTTATAACCAAAAAATAATTAAAATAATTTTCTTTAAGTTTCCTCCATTTAGTAAACGAAGCATGTAATTTTTACCTAGAGTTACTTATTACTTTAGACCGGGAAAAATAAGAAAAATTCTTTCTAGATTAATTTTCTGCTGACATCTTACATTTTACTACTAGAAAGCAAGTCTAGAATCTCTTCCAAATCAAATGGAAGACTTGTTGCTATGAAATTTTATGTCTTAGGGCTCAATTGAAATAAAATTAAGGCATATAATAAAATAAATCAGTAAAAAATTTATCTTTAAAGATAAATTTTTTATAATACTAAAGAACTTTTAATTAACAAATTTTTCGATTTTGGTTGTTTTGATCCAGGAATTAAATACAATATACAATGGCACCAGTAATTTTAATCCCAGATATCAAATACAATATGCAACAGTACAAGTAATACTAATACCAGGTTTCAAATACAATATGCAACAATACCAGTAATACTAATACTAGGTATCATATACAATAACAATCTGAATGGACTCACTTTGCTAATAATTTTAAAAAAAAAGTTCTGTTTTCTCAACAATAAAAAGTTTTGTACTGTATGAGACAAGGATTAGACTGTTATGCCCATAATTACCATTTTGATCTAGTGTGTCAAAAATGCAATTTATAAAACTTGCCGTTTGCCGGTTAGTCCCAGTAAGCACAGAACGTTTTTAAAACGTTTAAAAAACCTATTAAAACGGTTTTTAACGTTTTTTAAACGTTTTAAGAACGATCTGTGCTTACTGGGGTCTCAAAGCGAACTCGCATGCGCGAACATTTATATATATAATTTATGCCTTTACATAAAAATTACATATACTTATTTATTATGAAGACAAATAAGAAGACATTTACTGAGTAATTATCGAGCCCCATATAGATTGTGTGATTATAGAATAAAGCAACTTTCGTGAAAAAAATCAACAATTAATTTATTGTGTAAATTTTATGTGGCTTTTTAATTGTATATAACATTATCAAGTTTTAATAACAAAATATAAAAGGTAAAATAACTGTTTTAGTGGATTACGTATTGAAGAAATTTACTTGCTTTCAAACTTTGCGACCTGAATCCTAAAAATTAGAAAACTAATAAGTAGACAAAAACATCGGTTCTTAAGGTCGGTTCACACATTCTAAAGAACTAGCTAGGAGCGGACCCGTAAAAAAACGGGTCTTTGTAAGTCTATTCCAAACCGGACTTTTATATACTTTTTCCTAACATATCCTAGCTTTCTGGATCCGAAAACACGGGTCTTTACCAAACCTACCATTTCTATACATATCTATTCCAAACCAACTGTTTCTATTTCTATTTTTAACTCAATATTTTTTTGTAAAATAATTTTGTTCTAAAAAATAAAATTCGAGAGCAAAAAAATTAACATGCGCACCGCAGAGCTTCTAAGAGCTTATACGTTGAGCTTATAAGAGACTTATATTTAGGTTTGTTTTTCTGCTAAATGCATTTCATTTATAGCTCAGTGGTTAAGTGCGCTGTCATCAGCATTGTTTTGAATGGTTTAAAAACTCCTCTTAGCGTTATAAGTTTTTAAATTTTTTCAATTTTGATTATATATTTATAGCAAAAAAATAATAATATAGCAAAAAAGATCTCTAAAATTTAAAATAAAATAAAGTTTTCTCATTTAATAGATATATAAGATAATATATAAGATAAAAAAAAAATTTTAATTAAATTTTAAATTTTCTCATTTTATAGATATATAGATAAGCGATTATTCCATATAATGCCAGCAAACTCAACATATGCTAAAGACGTTTACACTTACAGACGTTTTTAAATGACGCTATACAAATGGAACTAAGAAGATCTTAGAGCACTAAAACATAGTCATAAAAAAAAAAATTCATTTTTATGATTATGAAGCCATAAAGATTTTGCTCATTGACGTCAGTTTGTGGCAAAATAAACCTTTATGCGTCAAGTTTCCTTTTGAATTTATCTTACATTTTTTGATTAATTTTAATTATATTGCATACAAATGCATAAAAGTATATAAAACTGGTACAGATATATCATTTTCATGGATAAGAGATTGTATTTATTACATTAGTAATGAATAAATAGTTTTTATCTTTATTAGAATATATCCCATTAAAATATATTCGATATAACTTTAATGGAAAGAGATTTTTTTAAAAATTGAAATAAAATTTTATTCCTATGACTATCATTTTTAAAGGTCTTCAAATAAAACTTAAACAAAAACTTCTTACGATTGACAATGAATCAAGTTATTTCTAAAAAATTTTATTTATTATTTATTTATTTTTCTTTCTTTCTTTTAACTTTACTTTATCCTCTTTTTTATTATTTTCTGGTTTTTATTATATATATATATATATATATATATATATATATATATATATATATATATATATATATATATATATATATATATATATATATATATATATATATATATATATATATTATTTATCTTTTTAAAATTCTTTATGCGAACAAGCCACCTGGTTTGCTTTTTTTTGCTTTTGTTATTATTAACTTAATCAGTGTAAAAAATAACTCTTAATCCTATTAATAACTATTGATTAACAATCAATATAATTACTTTAACAAATAGTTCTTTTTATAACTTTATTTCAAATCAGATCTTATATTTAATTTTGTTTATTGTATACCTTGAGGTTTTTAAATATTTATTTAAACATTTTGGTAATGTAGCAATATTTAAACAGCGAAATACATACCTATATATATAAAAAAAAAAGGTCTAAAAAGCAGATGACGTAATTTTAGCAATCAGAAATTATCGAGAGAGGGGCAAACCTAAAGTTGATGTTTCAAATTTTCAATTATTAGAAAAAACACGAAACATATTTGACAATATGTTTCGTGTTTTTTCAATCTTTATTTTAAATATAATAACATAACTACAAAAAATCAAGAAAAAACAGGTTGAGCAAAAAAGACTTGTAATTATTAGAAAAGTTGACTTATATTACATACGATCCTGAATAAAACGTTATATAAGTGGATTTTTTTACATTTTATAAACAATATATATAAACAAATAAGATATTTGTTTATATATACATCGTTTATATAGGGATGGGTAGCGCAATATAGTTTAAAAAAAAAAATGAGTTTTTATTAAAATAAAAAATGATTTACATAATGTTTCTTTGCAAACACCAACGAACTATATTAAAATTTTCAAGTCCGCTGAACTGCAATTACTTTC